AATGGGAGAGGCCACAACAGTGAGAGGCCCGCATACCGCAAAAATAAATAAATAAATAAATAAATAAATATAAATAAATAAACTACCAGGCAAAGCCTTGCCTTGATACACAAGGCAATTTCCTGCTTTTTAGCATTAAACTGAGCCAGGGTTCAAACGCAAGAAAATGCTCACATTGAGACACTACTGCAAGTGATACATTGTAATTAACACTCAAAATTTAAGAAAAAACTCTTAACTTTTCTGTTTCTGAGCTGTGTCTTTTAGCTAGGAACATACAATGGATAATATATATATATATATATCCTTTGAGTAAGAAAGGATAGTCAAATGCATTAATATCCTCCCCTCTACTTTAATGGCTGCAGAATGAAACAAATACCCATGGAGATGTGTCCAAGATCACACACGGACCTGGCTGTTTTCCAGCTCAAGTGCCCTGTATACTGGCCTTGCTGTGAGCTTCACTCTGCCCCTCTAGGGTAGGGGTGGTGTCTTTCCCAGCCCTGCAGGGTGAGCAGGTTATTGAACCAAACCCTTCAGCAGCATTCAGATTGTATTTAACCCTTTGTCATACTATCTGAGATCATCAGATGCTTAAAGTTGTACCTGATTCCTAAAGATCTCCTTTCCATGGACCAGCTGGATGTCAATCCCAGCTGCGTTTAACTGGACATGCAATGCCTACTCTGGCAAATACCATATCACTATAGAGTAGGGCCACATCTGGGCTTATTATTTATTTTTATTTCATTCATCTTCTCTGCCCAAAGTTAGTCAAGAAAAAAATTGTCCTCATATTTCTGTGGGCAAAGCTCCTAGATCCAACATTTTTTAAAAACCCACCAGCCATAAGTTATAAATTGAGTAGAAAAAAATGGGAAAAATAGTTGCATGCCTTTAATATAAAATTCAGTGAGAATGAGGAGCATAATGAACCCAAAAGCAATGTTATAATCATTATCATAGGAAGCCCTTCATCATTTGATAGCAGACATCTGATGAACACATGACATGATTAAATTCAAAGCAATAAATTTTCCTTCAGCTAAGTTTTTTGCAAGAATAAGCATTTAACTTCCCAATCGTCACCATGAGAACGCAATGAACACAGGTAAGAATTTGTCTCCCTATTCTTTCTTCTTCCACTCTACCTAAGAACATGGATTACAAAGTTTCGCATGCATAACTGAATTGCTAGATGCATTAAAGTACTGAAATCTTGAAAGATTATATTGAAGTAAGCTTATTAGAAGTTGAAGGATTCAGTGTGGGAATTACTTTTAGTATTAATTAGACCAGTTTTCTTAATTTTCTGGAGTGAGAACACAGCTATATGTTAGAGGCCTGTAATTAATATATTTTATCTACTACTATAAGAAGAACGTACACTTACACTGCATTGGTAAAATAGCAAAAATGTCTTTCCAAGGATCAAGTTGATAAAATCAGATCAGAATATGTATTCTAACAGATGTATTTCCCATAGATTTTTGAAACTCAAATCCAATATTTTTGTTTAATTCATTAGCTTAATTTATTAAAATGGTTCTCAAATTTAAGGAAGGTGATTACTTTAAAGACTTCTGAACTTTTGAATCTGCTTTAGGATTTAAACAAAAGTTGAGTGTGCCAGTGTTAGCATAAACTTCTGTTTCTAGTGTCTGGCCACAAAGGATTTATAATTGTATAGTTAACTTAAAGATTAACACATTCTCGAAATTAACCTCCATCATCTCTTTAATGTTGAAAACAGCTGTGCCTTCTATGTTCCAGGCATTATGCTAAGTGGTTTGTGTATATTATTTCACTAACCCTCAGATATATACACTTACAGAAACATACCCTGTGATGAAGGTATTAAAAGTAAAAACAAAAGTTTAGAAGAAAGAGACTGAATGTTAAAAAAAAAGAAGAAGACTTGTGTAAGGTCTCTCAGGAAATAGCAAAGTCAGAATTTGACTCAGGTCAGTCTGAATCCAAAGTCTGTCCTCCTATGTGCTATACTGCTTGAGCCTTATTCATTTTTGTCAGTTATCATAGTCCTAGTAATTTGCATAGAAAGTCAAATTTTCTTCCAGGTTTTATGAGTCTGGGATAGTGTGTAGCATGCAATTTCCCAATTCACAGAACCAGTAGTATTGAAGAAGGAGGAGGAAGAAAGAATAACTAGAAAAAAAAGTTGATTTTCCAAATTTTTATCAAGATGATGTATTTGTCAGGATTCTTTTGCTTGCAAGTGATGAAAACCCAGCTGAAACTCATTTAAGCAAAGATGATTTATTTATGTAAGCAACTTAGCTAGTTCAGGCAAAGTGGAATTCGGGTACTCAAATTATGTTGTGAGGAAACTGCCTCTCTGCATTTCTTGACGTTGGTAAGCTTTTTCCCAAGAAATGGCAAAAATGATCATAAGCAAATTATTTCAGATTCACATTCTACAAGCTTGGAAGTATGCCAAAATATCTTAACCATGGGGAATGAGGATCAAGGGAGAGTAGGAAGAATAACAATTCGAGGAAATGATCTCTATCATGAAGTTGCTTGTACTTTTGCCAAAGTGTGGCACTAGGTATCAACCAGTCTCAAAACATTTTATTTATACTTAATATAGGTATATATTTGAAATATTTATATATTTCATTTAATGTGTTTCATTCCTTCTTTTGTAAATTATAAGTGACAGTTGGAATCCCTTCATATGAGTTTGACATCATCCCTTTGATTAGTAAGTACTGCGGAACACAGGGGATTTTTTTTCCTCCAGTCAGATTTAGTTTCTTTTACACATACGTTTTTCTTCAAGTAACCCATATTTTCTATATAGAAAACTAGAGAGGCCATGAATCTTTGCCCTTGACCTGCCATAAATATCTGAGAAACGTAATGCTTTCAGATACATTAGCTTAAATCTGAACGTCTACTTTGTTGCACATACAGTTCATTAGAAGCAAAATTTTCAGGGCCAACCTTGTTTTGTGCATGTGTTAATTCACATACCTATTTATAGTGGTTAATAAAATATTAGAATTTTTATTAGAGAATTAAAAATTGCTTTCTATCTGATTAAAGCAAGTTCGGATTTCATATTCAATAAGAGCTTTTATAAACCATATATCCCTTAAAGCACATCTATATCCTCTGTATCTCCATAGATTTTGAATATATTTAATTTGCATTAACCACAAATTTATTTTTCTTTCAAGAGATAAATTCCCTTCATGTTCCTAGTTATAACATTTTTTGATAATTCAAAATCAACATTTTACTGTAAGGATTTTCCAATTGTCAACAAAAAAACTTTATTTTCTTTCTAATGTGGGCATCTGTGCATCCCAGAGCCTCTCTCTCTGCATGTTCCATGTGGACTGAAGAATATCTTATAAAGGTTTATGGGTGTTTTTGGCTGAAATAAAGAGAATGCTCAAAAGAGTCTTTTAGCTGTGGAAAATGAACTTCTATCATAAATGTACATCCCTCATGCCCCCAGTACCTGACAGCCCAGTGCTTTGGCAGCTGAACAGATCACAAAGCTGGTTCTGAGGCTTGCAATAACTTTACTCTCAGATAAAAGTTAACAGGAATTAACTACAGCTTAGTTCAGTACCCATGAGAGAGCTGAGCTCTCTGAAAAGGTGAAAATGTCAATAATTCAGATGCAGTTTGCAAGAGAGCCCAGGGGTGCCTGATTTCTTATTGCTGATGAAAAGCGCATGACCCAATCCTAAGCACACAGGCAGGCACCTCACATATGCATGCATAAACATGCTCCTTGGAAGTGGTAGGCAAGTCTCTTCTTGACACAAAGAAGGTGTCTTTATCCATTTTAAGGAAAAGTAAAACTTAGCCCAGGGAGATATTTCAGGATATATTGGAATCAATTATTTGAGCACAACATTGTGAGGTGTCACATCCTTGGGAGCACAATTCTGATTGGTGCTCTGCTGATGGCCCTGGAGTTCTTGGGCTGTATTTGCTGATTAAGTCATGCGAGTAAGAAGAGGCTGTGTGGGGGAATATTGGGCTCCAGTAGAGGCAGGGATTGAAGGTCCAGGTTTGCTCTTGATCATTGAAAGTTGTTATCTGGGAGCCTCCTGCCTGCACTGGCTCTTACTTCCCCACCTGGATAGGGAGGTCAGAGTAGTACAGGGTCCACTTAGTCTTAGACCCAGACCGTAGAACAAACAGGCCCAGAAAGTTTGTGCTGCTCTTTGTTTCCCCAGTGTACTCACTTAAGAGCAAAAGACCCCTATACACCTCTCTGGATTTGGTTAAATAATATTTTCACTTTTGTTGGAAAAGTGGCCCCCTCACCGTGGGCAATTACTTCGCATGTCTTTTAGTTTCACAATTTAATGCAAAACAGTAAATTTGTGTATCCCTCCTCCCCACTAGACTATCCTGAGCCCCTTTCCAGTCAACCTCCAACCCCTTTCTATACTCCCACTCCCACCGCCCCCTCCCCGTCAGTCTCTGAAGTGTCACGGTGTTTTTTTATGCTTCCAACAGTTTCCAAAACAAACAGTGGAGGCTATGACCAGCCGGGTATTCACTCAGTCCGATGCAACAGTATCTCCCAATCCGAGCGACCTGAGCCGCCATTAGGGGCAGGTCCACTCCCTAAACGCGCCACGCTTGCCAGTCTCTGAGCTCTGCCAGGTCCGGGAATCTGGGACTTGGGGACTGATGTTCCGCACATGTCCACTGGGAGGGAGAAGAGCGAAAAGGGAAAGGGGACTAGACTCCAGAGGACTCTGGCTCCAGTTTAATCTCCTTGCATTCTGTCTATTCAAAGAAAATCTATACGTATATATAAAAATTATACACACACATTTTTCCCCCTGAATATAGATTCAGAAATTGTTTTCTGAGTTTTCAGGTTTTTCTGATTTTCCCGCTTTCCCTCCTTTGCCTGTCCTCTGCGCCCTCCCACCCTCTCCCTCCCTAACCCAGCTCAGGTTGAAACTTTGCAGAGTACGTTCTCTTCACCCTCTCCAGGGATGGCTCTGAGCTCTCGGGCGCACGCCTTCTCGGTGGAAGTCTTGGTGGGCAGACCCAGCAAAAGAAAACTGCGAGACACAAGAAAGGAGGCGCAACTTGAGCTGCTTGAGAAAGAGAGTGGAGAGGCGGAGGAGGAGAGAAGGAGCAGCGCCGCAGGAAGGAAGAGCGAGCAGCCTGGTGAGTACCCCTACCGCGGCCCAAACCCCAGCGCCGGCTACCTTGGCTTGCTGGATCGGAAGGTCTCAGACTAGCGCCGCGTCGCTGCAGGAGGGCGGCTAGCCCTATCAAAGGATGTCTTGGCCCAGCGTTGGCCGCGTACGGGGCGGCGGGGATACCTCAGCCATCTGGCTGTAGGGGGAAGTTTCAGAGCCTCCACGTTAAGCCCATAGTGTTGTGGTTCATTTGCGGTGAAGGGGAGGGTCCCCACAGATTTATGAAGCGAGACTCTCCAAACTCCCGGAATCCCTGAGAGCCAGAGGGTGAATGTTTCTCGGGGTAGAAAACAGGGCATGGACCCAGATCCCGAGGGGATTCAGCATCAGGGACGAAAAGTCTCCGAGAGAGATGAGGATGGGCAAATTTGAAGAAGGGTCATGCATTTCACAGGGCGCTACCTGGGCCCCTTTCTCTCCATCACGGGGCCAGAGTGGGTGTTGTGGGGAATTTGGAGATCCGACGCCAAGGTTCCCGGGGAAGAGACAAGGCCGGTCTGTTCTGAGACAGGCGTCAGCGAGAAGGGGGCGCGGGAACTGCGAAGCTCTCTCAAACTCTCAGCGTCTCTGTGTCCAGCAGAAAAGCGACCCAAGACAGAGCCCTTAGCAGCTACTTTCTCAGGCTGTAGAGGCGGCAGCGGCGGCTGCAACAGCTTCGGAAGTCTGGAAGAAAAAGATTCTATCCAAGTGGAGCTTCAAGGATCCGAGCTGTGGAAGAGATTTCATGACATTGGAACTGAGATGATCATTACCAAGGCGGGCAGGTTCGGCTTTGCCCAAGCTGTTCAAGGGCCGCACACAGTAGGCACTTAATGTTCTGATCTCATAAGATGGGTGCCTCCAGTTTTATGCTTTGGTACCCTTCTCCCCATAATCCCACCGCAGACCTGTATTGGAAGCCAGTGCCTCTCAATCGACCAGACTAGGCCTTGCCTGGCGCATGTTAGTGGCTCGGCCTTTCTTTCCTGTACACCCTGATTCCAAGAACTCATTCTTGCAGCTCCTGCCTGTGTAGTATATGACAAAAATTTGATCTCCCAAGGCAGGTGCCAGCTGCCACCCCCACATCTTAAGCTATGGCCAGGCCGTTCTGTTAAAGCTTCACAGTTATCAGTGGACAATATCCCATCTAGCAGGCTCTCAGCCCACTGTCCTGAGCCCAGGTCAATTTGAGGTGGGGCTTTCCCTCTTCCACCTTTTCCTGTGCGGCATTTTCTTCACATCAGCTGGGTAATTTTTTTGTGTGTGAATCTTCCTAATTTCAGTCTTTCCCAAACCTGCCTCACAGAAAGTACTGCTGAAAACTCAGGGGAGAGGCACAGCTGTTTCTTTCCTACTTTTCTATCTATAGCTTTTTATTATGGTGGTGATAGGAAGTGGGGTGGACAAAGCCTTGTGGTAAGGATATTCTGATCCACTCAAAAATCCTGAGTTTGTTCAATCAAACATGTAACCAACAATCTTTCCTCATGTAGCAAATCTCATTCACTGAACCTGTCTAGAATAAGAAGAGTATAGTTTATTCCTTTACTTTTCATTTGTCCCCAACCCCCCCGGCTCCAAATGTTTCTAATAGCGCCCAGGTCAGTCGCTATTTTCTCTCCCACAGGAGGATGTTCCCCTCTGTTCGGGTCAAGATAAAAGGACTGGACCCAGGGAAACAGTACTATGTGGCCATCGATGTGGTGCCGGTGGATTCCAAACGCTATAGGTAACCAGGCCCAAAGGAGGGTACCATAGGCTGGGAATGGGGATTCATATCTATGGAACCTGAGAGTGCTGTTTTGAAAACTCTATCATGGTAGGGGTAATTGCTCTCCTGTGAGCTTTGAGAGTTGAATTTTCTCCCTCAAACTGGAGTTCAGGGAGTTCAGACTGAGAGAAAAGCAGGCTTGTTTTTCTTTCCTCTCACTCCTGGATCACAGGTTCCAGCTTGCGCTTCAGTGCACCCCAAACCTCTTGCCTACCCACTGCTCTAGCCTTGGCTCTGCAAACTGCAGAGGGTTTTGGCTCAGGCATCTGGGAGGGAAGCTGTTTAAAGGAATTTTGGGAGAAATACCTGGGCTTCTGGGGCCCTACCGGGCTCTGGGATGTGCTAATTTAGCAGCAGGGTCCTTGAGCGATGCCCTGATTTGCCATCCAAAGCTAGTCTAGCAGTTATCTTGCCTAAGTCTATTTTTCTTCCTTCCTTCGCCACTCCCCTGAAGTGGAGGCCAGGTCCCAGAGAATACAAGTAACCTTTCTCTTGATGTAAGCTCTCTACTTAAAGCAGGATAAAAGTGGCCGAACTGATCTAAAGCCAAGAGGCCCTTCTTTGCTGGCAGCCCAGAAGCTCGGGTCGGCCAGCGCTTTAGCTCAGGGGTATGGGGGTTGGGCGGCATCCGCCCGCACTCGGCCTGTGAGCGTTAGACCGAAGTGGGTGTCTAGCCTTTCTAGGAAACAGCCGGCAACGCACCCAGTGCTGGGAGTGAGGGGCAAAAAGAAGGCTGGGCTCAAGAGCCTGCTGGGGCCGTAGCCCAGAAATAGCAGAACAAGCTGCTTATCACGTTTCAGCTGGCTTGGGGATTCGGCGCATAATTTAGCGGTTGAGATTGAAGACAATGCGAAAATCAGCCCCGAGGCCGCAGCGGGCAGAGTTCCTTGAGGGTATTCTCATGTAAAGCATTGTGGACAAAGGGGCTTCCAAGACTACTGGTCTGGTGGCGTTGGGCTGCACAGACACTTTCCCTCACACCTCTGCTTCTTCCCTGACGCTTGTAGGACAGGAGGATTTTTTGGGTGTCTCTGCTCAGTAAAACGGGTTAGATGAATTTTTGTTGCGGTTTCTGTGAGGAAATGCAAACCAGACTCTGAAATCCCATCACATTATACTTGCCCTGGCACTTCACTACATTTTAATGACGTATGCTTATTTACAGTTTGCTTTCTATCCCTGGACGATCTTTAGAAATGAAGTTGTATCTTTTACTAGTTGCCTTTGAGATTAGCAGGCAAACCTTGGCCAAAGCCTTTAGGACGGGATCGCGGTAGTCCCTGCTCCTGGCTTTGGCCCGCTGCGCCTAAAGCCACACTCCGCGCATTTTCAGGTACGTGTATCACAGCTCGCAGTGGATGGTAGCCGGGAATACAGACCACTCATGCATCACTCCCAGGTTCTATGTTCACCCGGACTCGCCTTGTTCGGGAGAGACATGGATGCGTCAGATCATCAGCTTCGATCGCGTGAAACTCACCAACAACGAGATGGACGACAAAGGCCATGTAAGTGTGTGCGATCCTTTGTCCCGAGGAGAGGAGGGGGATGCCAAGGGGTCAGCCGGAAGGTCACCCTGGAGAAGCCAAGGAGGTGTCTCCCAGATGTGCTAGTTGTAGTCTTTAGGAACTGTCCAAGTTCTAGGCCTGTGGCCAAAGTAGCTCTTGTGACTTTTATTTGGCATCTGAGAGTGCTGGGCGTTGGGGATGGTGAGTGAAAGGAGTTTGAGGACCAAAGGAGACTTGTTTAATCCAGGATGCCTGGTCTGGGACAGTGAAAGGGAATGCTTCCCTGAGCTCTCTGGCACTTCAGCCTCCCTGGCAATCACTGTGGGCTCTGATTGCCTTCCCATGATGGGCACCTTCTGTGTGACATGGTATGGTGAAAATCTTCTCCACAACCCGCCCCGATGGAAGGCCTTTTCAAGTCACCTAGATCTTGAACTTTCTTCCCAGATCTTGAACCTCTGCCCTGCTTGGCCTGGCCCTGTGCCAGCCACAAAAGGAAGAAGGATGCTCCTGGGCTTAGGAGGTGGGGGATGTCAAATGCTTTCCCATCAGTTACCTAAGCCCAGAGAACTTATGGCAGGCAGTTAGATCCCAATAACACTTGGGAACATCACATGGTCACCCACATTTGGAAGCAGGAAAGGACCCCAACTGGAAATGGAATCACTGCTTTCTGGTGTGCTGTGGTGCCCCGTTCCTGAAACCCCTTATGCCTGAAGGCCTCTGTCCAGGGCCAAATGGCAAAGAAAAGTCCTTGTGTGTGGCTAGCCTAGGCTTTCTGGTTTAGCTTCACTTTTGTGTGGGAAGGTTGGGGGTGCTGATGAGAGGGGGACAGTGTGCGGGAGGGGAAGCCAATTACTAGGCAGCATTTGACCACTGATTTCTCCTGCAGATCATTCTGCAGTCCATGCACAAGTACAAGCCCCGTGTGCATGTGATGAAGCAGGACAGCAGGGTCGACATGTCCCGGATTCAGTCCCTGCCTGCTGAAGGGGTTAAAACATTCTCCTTTAAAGAAACTGAGTTCACCACGGTGACAGCTTACCAAAACCAGCAGGTAAAGCCAACTAAGTCCCAGGCAAGCAGGGATGGCTCCAGAGAAACTTTAGGGAAAGAGTGAAGCTGTACTATATGGATTGAATTTTCCACAATTAAAAAGAAATTCATAGCATTATTGCATTGCCATCAAGGCAAGATTGATTATGAATTGTGTGGATCTTGTGTTAGAAAGGATAGAAAGGAGAGTAGAACAAAGAGTGTCAGGAGAGAAAGGAGATAAAACATTTCAAATTTGACTTAGCAATATGCTTACATTTATTTAACATGCCATATTACATGTTGAAAACTTGTGTGGTTGTTGTAACCATTAAAAGAAACAGTGACAGTGTTTTTACTGAGGGTACTGACTTTATCTTTCTTTCTCTTTTGAATCCATAGATTACCAAACTGAAAATAGACAGGAATCCTTTTGCTAAAGGATTTAGAGATCCCGGAAGAAACAGGTAAATGATATAACAGTCACATCTAATATTTATATAGCCCTTTTCACAGGTATAACAGCTAAGGAAACTGTGGTTCAGAGACTGAGTCCCTAAATTTTGTAACTAATAAATAGGTAGTAAGAAAGAAACCTGGACGTTTTGTCTTCAAAATCTTGCCTCCTCCCACTCCCTCCCCAACCCACTTTTAAGATATTGCTTATTCTAAATTCTTAGGTTTTTATTCGTGGAATAATCACGGGGAATTTTATTCAGAAATCTATCTATAAAAGAAAAACATTTCAGATATTCACCCCTAAAAACTATAACAAAATAACTCAAAAGCTTACACAAATTATTATTTTCAGGAATTGCATTCTGGACTTGCTAAAGTTTGAATCTCTTTTTCAGAGGTGTATTGGATGGGGTTTTAGAGACCTACCCATGGAGGCCTTCTCTCACTTTGGATTTTAAAACTTTTGGTGCAGACACACCAAGTAAGAAAAGTTTTATTAATTTTTATTTGTAAATGTTAATGAAATAACAACAGCCAGAACCTTGTACAAATATTACACAAGTGGATAAGTATGTGCCAGAAAATGTGTGTTTAAAATCAGGTGGGTGTATATTTATCCTGATGAGGAGGTAAGAAGCAAAAAGGGAGGGTAACTGGCAAGAAGGAAAAGAGCATAAACGTGGTAATGGTGGATTTACTGCCTTATGTCTTCTTGAGTTATCATACATCCTGAGAGCTATAGAAATCACTTGGATTCTTCAGCATCTCACTATCTCATATTCCTTAGGATCTGCCTGTGGTGCACTAGTGGTCTTATTTGCAAACATGTTAGATATTGAAATAAATATTTTATGAGAAACTTTCAGCACATGATAAAAATGACTCCCATTCAATTTCATCATCACTTGACTCTAATTTTCCTTTTATTGTGACTAGGGAAAATAAATGTTGAAAACAATACTAAGCCATGGCAATTAGTTTAATTGCCGTAAGCATTTAAAATATTTGCAAGGTATTTGTTCTCAAGTAGTACATTACATGACTAAATAATAATTTGACAATGCAGGCTTTCTGGTGGAAGAATGCATACCTTCATTTACTCTGATATTTAAGGATAAATAGAAGATCTTTATTCGTGAGCAATATGGAATCATTTTACCCATTTGTCCTTACTCCATTAAAGTTGTTTGTCTTTAAACATTAATTGAAGGTTACCGTCACATTATAGTTAGCTTGAATTTTACATGATACCATAACAGCTAATTGAAATGTAAAGAGATCAAGTCTAATCATTTAGTGAAATATTTCATTCAATTGACTGTATTAATTTGGTTTAGAGAGTTGCATAGAAAAATTTGAACACTTATTTGATAGTATCACTTTAATAGAATCTAGGCAGCATGCTTTTAAAATATCCAAGTCAACACATGGTGCACTGATTTAAAAATAATGCTAACCATGATCATTAATTGATAATTTAAAATACACAATTTTCTTAATTATTTAAAATGTCCAGAATGCTCTCAAATTGCAAAGAAAAGGGGTACCAGTTTTTTTAAATAACTTTTGGATGTTTAATTATAGAATATATTTGCCACGCTGTTGATAAAGGATTAGCCTATGTCTGTATATAAAAATAGTTAAGAAAAACAGTAGCACCTAAAAAAAAACCCCACAAAACTTTATCGAGTTCAGTCAATAACCAATTTTTTTTTAAATTTAAATACTTACAAATATAAGGTGTAAAGTCTAGATTTTCCTGGACCTTATATCTATCCCTAATTTTAGTAGATGCTATGCAACCATAAAAGATCACCTGGCAACATTGATATGAACACTTTCATTTTTATCTTGGTATTTTTAACCTGCAAAACTGTCTTTTACTCTTGATATAGTACACTATGGAACTTTCCCCATCTATGATTTTCATATAAGAAAAAAACTAATATATTTAAATGTTATTTTAATTTATAAGATTACTTTCATATGCACTGATTTTTTAATCAGACTGAAGTTTTCTATAAAATCTCAAAAAAACTGTTCAATTTAATCAAGTGCTTATTTTAGTAATTTTTTATGGTTAAAAAACAGCTTTTACTTGTAAGATATAATTGGCTCTGGATCATATTTAATTGGGCTTCTTTTTTAATTCACTGAATAAATGTTGTTCAAGTGCCTAGTATAGTTCTAAAGCATAGTGAATGCTCAATGCATGATACATAATAATAATGCCAAAAGTAATAGTGGTAGTAGTAGAGATACCATATTCAACTTTGGTCAGAGGAATGTTCTTTTCCAAAGGACTTAAAATGACTGTGAACTTGCAAGGAAAGCTAATCTAAGAATGAAGCAGGGATAGTTATGGACATGATTACTGATTCAGTAGGAACATTTAGTTCATTGTTCATTGACTGAATTGTCATTCACAGGTGGAAGCAATGGCTCATCTCCAGCGACCTCTAGTGGAGGGGCTCCCTCTCCTTTGAACTCTTTGCTTTCTCCACCTTGCTCCCCTCCAACATTTCACATACCTACAAGCTCCCTTGGAATGCCCTGTCCAGAGGTGTACCTACACAATATCAACCTGCCCCTTTGCTACAAGATTTGCCCAACTAATTTTTGGCGACAGCAGCCTCCTGTCTTGCCTGCTCCTGAAAGGCTAGCAAGCAGCAACAGTTCTCAGTCTTTAGCCCCACTCATGATGGAAGTTCCCATTTTATCTTCCTTGGGGGCCACCAATTCAAAATACGGTTCATCTGAAGACTGCAATGGACAGTGTCAACAAGCATCTAATTCTTCCAGTCAAATGTTGTATGGATTACAGGCACCTGGAAATATTTTATCACCCAACCTCATTGCCCAGGAAGCAATTGGTTGCTCATTCCATCCTTCCTATGGCTTTTATAGGTACAACTTCTCCATGCCATCTAGACTGGTAAATGCTACCAACCATCTCAAAGTGAATGAAAACAGTCAAGTTTCTTTAATAGAAGGCAAATGCAATCATGCTCGTTGGTATCCAAAAATTAACCATTGTCTTTAATGGAATAGTCAAGTTCCTAAAACAATTACATGTAAGCATATATTTTCTTTATTTGTAGCCAAAAAAGGTCAAGAGCTAATGGGCTTAAAAAGCTTCATTATCAGAAGGTATTCCTCTATTCTGCATTTAAAGTGCCTTATGATGTGTTCTTAAGAAGGCTGATTACAGTAGCCTTAGGCCTCAAAATAAGATACTCAGTAAACATTGTTTGATGAGGTAGGCTACCAGTGAAAAGTGACTTCAGGTGATGAAATCTCTAATTATAGTGAAGCCTGTTTACCACATCAACTGCCTCTTGCATATTGACAATGACCAAAGGAAGGTGGATTTAATTCCTGTGAAGGTAGTGAAACAATTACAGTTTTTATCTATGAATATTGGCTTCATTGTAATTATCTATCTAGTAACTGTAGAAAAATTTCATTGTTCATTTGCATTATACTTTTATACTCTGCTGTTGAAGGAACTACTAATCTCAATTTTAAGGTACAAATAAAGACATAAACATCCTAATATTAATATTTGCAGCCTAAGGACCATTTAATCCTGAAGGAACACAAAGATTAAATGAAAAGCAAAGTATTCTAAATAAATTTGATCTTTTATTCTCTTTTATTTTTTGGGTAATTCTCAGGTGATGCTTGTTTACTTAGTCCTTAACAAACCCGGTATTTTTTGTTTGTTTGTTTGTGATACGCAGGCCTCTCACTTTTGTGGCCTCTCCCGTTGCGGAGCACAGGCTCTGGACGCGCAGGCTCAGTGGCCATGGCTCACGGGCCCAGCCGCTCCGCGGCATGTGGGATCCTCCCGGACCGGGGCACGAACCCGTGTACCCTGCATCAGCAGGCAGACTCTCAACCACTGCGCCACCAGGGAAGCCCCAAACCCGGTATTTTGTATACATAGTTTACAAAAACAAATTGTTGTAGCTCTCCAAAAAGGCTGAGAAGTTATGATTTGAAGGGAGAGAATATATTTGAATCCATAAATATGAAAACATCATTACAATGGCACAATTTAATTTCAGTCCTCTGCGTCAATCATGGTAAATTGGACAAAAGTAGCGTAACATAAATGAGACTTTATTTTAGGCTATGAAGTTGAAAAGTTTCCTTTCACCTGGTCCTAAATTTTCTGAAAAAACTTAAGTATAACCTACATATAACCTCTATATCCTTAAGATGAATTGAATTTTAATTTTTCATGCTACTAGCTCTACAATTTATTAAGCCAGGGCCCTTCATATCACAATGGTATGACTTAACAAACTAAAGACATTGATAAACTGCTTTTTAAAAGTTTTCCAACACATATTAGGGAGAGCATGTCATTATTAATTTTGCTCAAAATGTTTTTTCCTCTCAAATGTACCTTATATATATACCTTCTTATATATGTATTAAAATGATATGCCCCTTCACTTCTGGGCTTAGGGATAGAACAGCACATAGTTACATTCAAACTGAGTATTCTAGTCAAGATGAAATATTATTTATGGCCCAGACTAATTAGGTACCTGCTATAAAAATCTTTAAGGCAGAAAACCTGTACTACCTAAGTTTATCAAATCAAGGATTAAAGTAGAAAGTACACTTTATTTCTGTCTACTCCAAAACAGGAAAGCTGTAGGCTAACTTTTACCACTAAAATAAATTATGATTTTTTAAAGCAGAAACTCCCACATCAGATTGTAGTAAAACTTATTCTGATGGCAGATACTTAGCAACTAACAACATAAATCATTTGATTGCAAAATCCAGAAAATTTCTGGGTTACTTTTTAATGATTATTTAAGAGACGGCATAAATTTTGTAGCTGCTCAAGTACATATACCCCATACTTTATATTTCAGATAATTTTTCTGTATGTAACCCATATAAAATTGATAATACAGAACTATATGTGTAAAGGTGATTTATATTAAGGAGCAAAAATTTAAAGGCTAGAAACTAGACATCTATTTTAAGCCGTTTTAAAATATTGTTCATAAATTGTCATTTCATAATTTTAATTGAAAAAGAAGAAGTAACCAAGGGAAATTCTTTATAGAAAATTAGACTTGGAAGAGACCTTAAGAAGTTCAGTAAGCAGTCCCCTATTTTCTGAGCAAGTTACTCATCTGCAGGAAACAGACGAATAACTTGCTAACAGCTCTAATTCATGCACAAATTGTATTTAGTGCCCTTACTATTTTATAATAAATAATTACTACCCAATAGGATGGTGCAAAACTTGAGTAACTTGGTAAACTGAGGCTATGATTATGGAATAAAAAACAAAATGCTATGGAATTATATTAATTTCAACTGCGTCAACTAAATATAAGGTTTGCTTTAAAAAACCTACAGAAATCTAAAGCCACTCTAGTTAGATAAGGTATGAAATAGTTAGCAAATGAAAGTGGCCAAATGATACTTAGTAGACTCCCAAGTCTAATAATTAAAACTGGTATTTCCATTTGGTTTGACCATATATATACATCCATCCTTTCATCCCATTCAAAAGAAATCATTTAAATTCAGTTATCTATATTTATAAAATCTGATTCTTAACCTGACCTAGTTATATGACTTACCTCAAATAAATACAGAGAAAATAAACTTTTCATCAACTCTGTAAAATTTGTACATTGAGACAGGAAATAAGTGAATGTTGCCTTATCTTTGCACAACCTCCAGTCAAGCTGAGACCTATAGTCAAATTCCCGTGTCAGAAAGGTTCTACTTTGTGGAACAGTCAAGATGAAATCAAGGGCTTGAATTCAAGTTTGAGCCTGTTTGCAGAACATATGTCTAAGTGGATAAATCCTCTATTCATTACATTTTACTCACCAAAATATAACTTTAGGTAACAAACTTAGAACATCAAAACTGTTATTTGTTTCATTAAACAGAAGGGTTATGCCCTCTGGACATTACATTTCAAATTCTAATACATAATTCTAGATTACATAATATTAGAGTCTTCAAACATTAGTATCATTGCTCCTATTCGCTGTATTACAAAAATAAAGAATTATATTTTCTTCAAGTTATGAAGGTAGATATTCATGATATTTCACTGTTATTAGGCATGGGTTATACATACAGTCTAGGAGTAGACATGACTTCATTCTTCTTTTGTGAGGTTTAAGTATGTCTATGGCACAAAAATAAATGAACAATTAGAATCAGCAAGGGATGAATCAGTGAATCAGTCTTTGAATGATCAGAGTTCTATGTGATGACAACTTGAAAAAGTGCCAACAATGAATAAAGACAAGGATCTTTATTGGACATTATGGAAGATTTCCCTTTCATTATCCTAATCATTTATAGTATGCACATTGGGGAAAATCACGGTGCACATAAAGCTGGTAACATGTATCTTTTAACAGTTACTGATGAATGCTAAGCCAAAGCATAATTGAAATACAAGTTTTGTACAAATATGTAAAATATATTTTACAAAAATATACAAAAATTCTAATTACAAATCTAGATGCTTTGAGACAATAGTGCTATATGTCCATGTATATAGTAGGGTAATACACAGTTGTTATCCTTTTATTAAACCTCAATAACAAATACTTTCCTTATTTGAATACGCAATTTGATAAATTCCAGATGTCACACTATAATTTACATAACCAGTGGGGTTTTAGTTTAGTTTTGTTTTAAAATAATTTATACTATGTTGCTTTTTATCCCTCCTCTTCTCAAAAATAAGGATACTATGAAGAACATCTAATCATTGCATACTTATACTATTAATTACATATACTTGTGTGGAAAGGCAAATTTAAATATACTTAGAAATGTCTAATTGCATGTACTGTATTTTGTGAATTGAATTGACAGGGTGGAAGTACAATGTTTATACTCCAATTTAGGGATATGTTGCCTTTCTGCAGAAAAATCTTTATTTAGCCAAAATAACAATAATATCCTGGCATACAGCAACAGTTTACCAGTTGATTTTACTGGAATTTAACATGTTTATTAGAGCAGTTTAAAACAACCAAATGCATAGCTTAGGCATTGGTGGCTGTTGCTTTGATATAGGTGCCTTCATATACATTTAGTCTTAGGTTTTGTCTGCAATTAAATGATAATTTGTATTAAAACTGTGCAAATAAATATGGTTTAGATGTCAACATAGAACAAATAAATATACAGAACGTTTTAAACACATCCAGTATTAAAACTATTTACATGTGTGGTGCTGGCCAAATTTTAACATGGTGTTTCAATAAAATATTGAGAGGAAAAAGACTAGTATTATTTCCTTTCAAAGTTTCATATGTTCATGTTTATAAATTTGTACTGCACATTAATATGTAAACATGAATTATAGTGAGCAGGTATTCAGAGAATAGTGATAGGATATTTCTACTTAGTTGAAATGTGCACGTGTATACTGGATTTATTTTTCAAAGTACCTAAAAGAGTTACAAAATTTGAAATTAAATATAATAGAAAACCTTGAAATTATAGTACAAGTTGTATCATTGAACTCTTTTATCAAATTATCATATATCTGTTATTGTTAAAGATGACAGAATTTTTGTTTTGGATTTAAGATCACAGACTTATGCACGTGACAAAGTATAATGTAATATTTTAGATGTAGAAAATTGTTTAAATAATTTAGAATTTTACTAGAACAAGAAGGGAATAAAAGCGTGTTTTCTATTGGATAAAATTAACGTCTATTTTTTAAAAATTATTTATTTATTTATTTATTTTTGGCTGTGTTGGGTCTTTGTTGCTGCATGCAGGCTTCCTCTAGTTGTGGCGAGTGGGGGCTACTCTGTTGCGGTGCATGGGCTTCTGGTGGCTTCTCTTTTTGTGGAGCACAGGCTCTAGGCATGCGGGCTTTAGTAGTTATGGAGCACAAGCTCAGTAGTTGTGGCTCACGGGCTGTAGAGCACAGGTTCAGTAGCTGTGGTGCACGAGCTTAGTTGCTCCACGGCTTGTGGGATCTTCCTAGCAGGGCTCGAACCTGTGTCCCCTGCATTG